AAATTTTGTTCACTAAACCGGGTACGCGCACGGCCATAGAGCCATCCGGGCCGATGCGGCGGGCGTGATAATGAGTTGCAGTATTTTTGCCACGGTAAACGATGCTACACTCTGTCTTGCCAGGCTTCCAGTTGATCTCGCACTACAATAAAGTAAACACCTCGCTCAGAGAAACTAGGAGAATATCGATGCAGGCGTCCAGCTCTGAGGCGGTTTTGGCGCATAGCATCAAACACTCATCGTCGACGAAGGCCACGTCGACTATGGGAACGGTGGTTTCGTCACTACTGTCGCACTCCGCTGGGGAGAGGAAGTCGGGGCCGTGCCGACGCACGCGAAGAACAACACCAGCACGGAGAAGAGCGTCACGAAGGAGGAGAAGGCAGACGGAGCACGAGCCGTTGAAGATGGTACTGCCAAACTTGCACCCTTTCCACGGGGCCTCATGCTGACGGCAGTGTCAAGGTCACCGTAGCTAAGCCAGCTCATCGAATGAAGATTTTTCACCAAGAGCACTATCTTGTCCGGGACGTCCCATTGCTTCATGAGGGGGCCGTGCACGGACACGAACTCCACGACCCACGACACCTGATGAGGAGCGAGGCCGAATGAGGCGAAACACTCGTTGGGGACCTTGCAGTCAAGGGGGTTTCCCAGGACCAGCTCGCGCAAGGCCTTTTCGAACGCCTTGGACAAGTCGACATATAAGATGAAAGTGCATAGCCGGGGAGCCTTGCACCGATCAATGAAGGTGAGGACGACGTGGGAGGCAAAGTCGGTACCTACTCGGGAGACGGCGCCGAACTGGGACGAGGGCATCCCTGCCTCGCACCTTGGCTTGATATGGTCATTGAGGATTTCCTTCAGAGCCTTGCTCATGTGGTTGTCGAGGTGGATGCCACGGTACTCGTCACAAACGTGTTTGGAGCCCTTCTTCTTGTGGACGTCTACAACACGGCTACCAACCCAAGCAGAAGGCCAAACCTCGCAGGAGACCACGCACTCGTACACCTCGGACAACTTCGAGGCAACAGCACCACCGCCAGCACGCAAAACCTCAGCAGCAATACCACCACGACCAGTCCCACGGTTGGACTTCAGGCGCATCAGGGCCTCCTCGACGCGGGAGGGGGAGACGTCGAAGCTTTGCCCGACTCACTCGAAGCGTCAGCCGCCACTCATGAGTTCTGCAGGGCTTCGGAGCCCCTCGGCCCAAATCTCGTGGGGGTTGTCGAATGTCGCCGCGTGATTTGTTCGGCCCCAAGACTGCCCAAGAGGGCCCCGAGAAGCCCCCAAGACTGCCAAAGAGGGCCCCGAGTCGCCGAACAAGCGCTCCAAGACGCCCAAGAAAGACCCAAAGCGGCCCGAGAGGCTTCCGCGCCCAAAGAAGCCGAGGGGGGCGGAGGGGTTCAAACCCCTACCCCCCCACCCCTGGCGCCTGCGCCACCGCTGGCGGCGGCCAGAAGCGCAGGCACTGACGCCGGCGACGGCGGGGACGCAGCGACGATAACCACCACCACCACCACAACCTCAACCCACCACCACCACCACCACCGCAAACCACCACCACACCACCACCACATCACCACCACCACCACCACCCACCACCACAACCACCACCACAAACCACCACACCACCACCACCACAACCACCACCACCGACACCACCACCACCACAACCCACCACCACCACCACCACCACCACCACCACCGTCGTCCTCGTCGACGCTCCCCGCCGCCGCCGCCCGCCGCCGCAGGCGCCGGCGACGGCCCATAAAAGGAAATCGTCGTCCCCGCCGCCGCCGCCAGCCGCCCGCCGACGCAGGCGACGGCCGAGGAGAAAGGAGAGGGACGGAGGGGAGGGGGGGGGGACGGGGGTTCGAACCCTCCCCTCCCTCTGTTACAGGAGGGGAGGGGGGGGAGTTCGAACCCCCCCCTCCATGCAGGGGGGGTGTCGGTTCCCCCCCCCCCACTCCAAGCGACCACAGAACGCGCTCCTTCATATGTACATATATACCTATACGACCACCCTGCGGGTGATCAGGAGGTGAGGGGGCAGGGGGAACCAACGTCTCACTCAATCGATCTCGCTATCGATCTCACAATCGATCTCACATTCGATCTTACTATCGATATCGATCTCGCTATCGATCTCACTATCGATCTCACAATCGATCTCACAATCGATCTCACATTCGGTCTCACATTCGGTCTCACTGTCGATCTCACTATCGATCTCACAATCGATCTCAGAGTCGATCTCACATTCGGTCTCACATTCGGTCTCACTATCGATCTCACTATCGATCTCACAATCGATCTCACAATCGATCTCACATTCGGTTTCACATTCGGTCTCACTATCGATCTCACAATCGATCTCACAATCGATTTTCACTCGGCAATTTTCACCATCATAATAATCATAATTACCAATCGGCAATTTCCACTCTCACAATCGATCGGCACCATCATCATCATAATCATCATTACCATCATCATCTCACAATCGGTCTGACTATCGATCTCACAATCGATCTCACTATCGATCTCACAATCGATCTCACATTCGGTCTCACTATCGATGTCACAATCGATCTCACAATCGACGTCATCATCATCATCATCATCATCATCAACAACAACACCAACATCATCATCATCATCATCATCATCATCATCATCATCATCATCATCATCATCATCATCATCATCATCATCATCATCATCATCATCATCATCATCATCATCATCATCATCATCATCATCATCATCATCATCATCATCATCATCATCATCATCATCATCATCATCATCATCATCATCATCATCATCATCATCATCATCGCCATCATCACCATCATCATCATCATCATCATCATCATCATCATCATCATCATCATCATCATCATCATCATCATCCACATCATCATCGGGACACCGACGGGACACCGACGGGACACCAGCGGGACACCGGCGGGACACCGCGCGCCACCCGCCGCCCGGAAGAGACACATTTGGTCCGGCCGCGCCTTAGCCACAGGGACACCGACGGGACACCAGCGGGACACCGGCGGGACACCGCGCGCCACCGGCCGCCCGGAAGAGACACATTTGGTCCGGCCGCGCCTCAGCCACAGGGACACCGACGGGACACCAGCGGGACACCGGCGGGACACCGCGCGCCACCGGCCGCCCAGAAGAGACACATTTGGTCCGGCCGCGCCTCAGCCACAGGAGACTTCCCTCTCGCCCGCCCACGCAGCTTCGCCTCGCCCGCGCGCACGGCACGCACGAACACGAAACCGAAATCGATTTCCCGGTAGGGGGCTCTCCGTTCCACTTCGATCTCACCCCCTCACCTCCGATACACATACATATGTGGTCAAGCACGTGTGTCAATGCAGTGTGCATGTGCCTAATTCCTGTTACACCACCCTGTGATGATATGTACGTTGGTAAAGTGTTGTATGATCTGCTCGCGCATGTTCATAAGACCCGAGCTCGCATAACATGTGTGCATACCTGGTGGTTACTAGTCACGTAACACACGGCGTATCAGCCGAAATCATGTGCATGCAATTTTGTTCAGACACCACGCTACACTGTTAACTGCTGCTGTAATCCATGTCCGCAGCTTCATAAACAAGACAAAAACAAACCTAAGGAAACTGCCTGTACACTAGCCAGTTCGGATAGACTGCTGCAAATGGGACGGTCAGTCTGCACGAACGGACCTCGCGATAAACGATGCAAGGGCCAGTGGGAGTCACGTGAGCGCCTGGGTTGCGCATGTTCTGGGAGACGCACATGTGGTTCATGCAAGCTTGGTTCGTGCGCAGTCGTCACCCACAAACTCCTCCCTTCGAAATCCACGAGTCCACCCACTCAAGCGCGTCGCCAGGCCCGGGGCTCACTCCATGCACTCGAGCGCGAGTCTCAGCGAAATCCAAACACACCCGAACACGTGCCACATCACGGAAAACACAACACATGCGCGCAAACATCGGCACTGTCCATCCTCTCAGGGTAAAAGATAGCTGCATAAACGTCAGCTTTCTGAGGTTCGCGCGGAATTCTTGGATCCCAGCAGGACCCCTCTTCCTGGCGCTCGGAGCGCGCCAGGGACGGCGCCGGAGGCCCCGCTGGGGAGGCCTAGCGCCGATACAGCTTGTAATTATGATGATATTTCGTGTTCGACTGAAGCCTGCCGAAAATCATTTACAAATCGTCGAATCCAAAGGCGGGCGCTGGAAGACAAGCGCGCACCCGGCGGCGGCACGTGGGAATGCTGTATGAGGGGCCCAAGTCACCGTGCTACCAAAAGGAACGCTGAATAAGGACCGGAGGGTTGAGTATGCCTGGGGGGCCAGGTCTACAGGGTCGGGGCGCAGGGCGCTCGGGAGGCGTGCCATTTTCTTTTTCAACCTGCAAGTTCTGTTTGGGATCAACTGGCCGCCATGGGCGACGCGCCGACACCTCCAACGTTGCACCGACGGCTAGAAAAGAAAGTTGTCAGGTTCCTGCGCGCAGCTCTATAGAAAGGCAGGGGACCTGGCCCAGAAACATGCTCAACCGAAGGGGCTTCACTGGCCACGGCGAGCCTCGGCTTCGAATGGGCCCCCCGATCCAGACCCGAGGAAGCGAATGTCGCAGAACCTCTCGCGAGTTGCGACCGTTCGAGCTTTGCGGTCCGTCACCCTCGCAGGCTCCCCCACACAAACGTTATGGTGTATCTCGCCGGCTGGGCATCGAGGCGGCGAGAGGAGGAGAGAAGAATCAGGTGAAGGAGGAGGAGGAGGAGGAGGAGGAGGAGGAGGAGGAAGAGGAGTCTCCTCCCCCCCCTGCACCCCTCCTGTCCACTCTTCTCCCTCTCCCCACTCTTCCTCCCTCAACCCCCTGCCCTCCTTGGTGCCCACCCTGCGCTGTCCTCCCCCCTCCACCTCCTCCTCCCAAGCACCAGCAAGTCACGCCGCCTACACCCGCGCGCCCGCACCCTCCTTGCAGATGCGAGCAATGGAATCCGCCTCGGTCTCCTCGGCCGCGGGCCACTCCTCGCGCCAGTCGCCGACGTAGTGGGGTCCGTTGGCACCTGGCCCACATCCTTTAAAGTCCAGGGAGGAAGGCATAGAGAGGGGGGGGGGAGGCAGGGGATGGGGCGAAGGGAGAGGGGAAGGACAAAAATGGGCATGGGGAGCGAGGGGGAGTAGGAGTGTTAAGGGGAAGGGGGGGAAGGGCGGGGGAGGGCGGGAAAAGGATGGGGGGAAGGTACAGGAGGAAGACATGGAAAAGGAGAAAGGAAACAGGTTTAAGAGAAGGAGAGAAGGACAGACAGCGGAAGGGGACAAGGGGAAAGGTGGATGAGAAGGGAGCAGGTTGACGGGAGGCGGCAAGGAGTGAGCAGCAAAGGTGAAGGAGCAAGGGGAAAGGAAGGAGTGGGGCGGGGGATGAGAGAGGAAGACAGCAGAGAGAGTAGTGAGGGACAGAGAGAGAGAGAGAGAGATTCCCTTGGGGGACGCGGCTGCGGGGATGGTGGGTTAACACACCTGGTCGATGCCCCGTGGGGCTCGTCCGCTCGGCTGACAGGGCGAGGCCTGATCTCCCCGAAAATTGGCACCCCGTCCTCGCGCTTCCATCCCTCCTCCTTCAAACCCCTCCTGAAGCAGAAACCAAGCGACACCACCCCACCTACGACACAGCGATGTTGAACATTTTAGGCACTTGCCCAACTACGAACGCCGACGACCCACCTACGACACCACCCCACCTACGACACATCTACGACCCAGCAGGTCGTAGGTGGGATAGGGTCGATTGGTTTTTGGTCGACCTCCCTGTCGACCACCTGACGTTCCGTCGGGACGAGCTCGGCGTTTCGCGGCTGGCCTCAGTCGGTCCTGCCTCTGCGTCGTGATTATGTTAATGAAGTTTGCCTGCAAAGGTAAAGTGAGACTTAATATGTCATCCAGCCTCCTTCGCTTAGGTCTGCGCAGTTTTGCATGCTCACGCGGGCTCAACACAACCACACCTTGTTCACAAGATGGCGATTGCGCCGCATGCCACACAAAGGTAGACTACGGCGAGACGAATAAACGATTCACAGGATACGGAACGAGGGGAGAAGAAGAAAGGCACGCCATGACCCCCCTGGTCAAGGTTGTCAACCGGGGCGGCGAGCGAGAAGAGCGACGGATGCCTGCGCGCACCTCTCGCGGCCTCTGCCTGAACCTTGAGCACGCCGCTTCGGGGAGCCGCGGGCCCTCAGCGAGGCGGCGGTGCCTAGGGGACTCGGCATCGCAGCGCGGAGCCGACGCATCGGCAACATGCGGGCCGAGGTTCACCGGTCGGGCCCCCATCGGCTGCGCGCAACGAAGCGGCCCTCGGCAATGGCGGCCTTAGGTGCACGGCCTGCGGGACCGCTGCGTGCGATAGGACGGCAGCGGCCTGCGTGATTGGTTTTCGCACAAACTTGTTGGGGGGGGTCCAAGGGCCGCGTGCGGCTCCCAAACCGGGCTCGACCAGAGTCCGGTTCTGCTGGATCCTGCAAGATCCGGCGCCCCTGCTGAGCTCCGTTCGCGGTGAGCCCCGCTACCTGACGGCTGACCGCGCGACAGAGGCCCCTCTGGCGAAAGGTCGCTGCTACGCGCGGCCGATTCCCAATCCGCACCAGTAGTGTGATGACACTGGGCTAAGGTGACAGGTCGTGCTCGGCCTCTTGGGCCGTTGCCCGAATGCGACAACAACAGCCTGCGCGTTTTGGCCTGCGTGCTTGGCTGACCGTACTCCAGGAAGGTCCCTCTTGCGAAGGGTCGCTGCTACTCGCGGCCGAGGATGAGCCCGCTCCATCTCGCCGGCGCTCCGCCAGCGACGAGGGCGCAATCCCGGGCCCGCTGTCCGAGACCGCGCCGCCCGCGACACGCCGCTGGCGATCGCGAGTGCGACGCGATGGCGAACCCAGCTACCTGACGGCCGACCGCGCGCCAAAGTTTCTCCTGGGGAGGGGTCGCTACTACTCGCGGCCGTTCCCCAACCCGCGCCAACTTGGGTAGGTGTAGTGCAGTCTGGGGTTACCGGATGCAAATCGGATCGGTCGGCATTGGCCAGCTTTGCCTGCTGTTCCTTGCCCCGTGCGAAGCTAGGAGGCCGCGGCCTGCGACCGCCACGGCGACCCGGCCCCCTGCGCCGAAAGAAACTCGCGGGACAGCCGCGGGGCAGCCGCGGGACAGCGGCGCTGCCTTGATGCCGAAGCGAAGGAAAGAAAGGGGAAGCCGCGGCATTGCGGCCGAGGGCGGCCGCGCAGCGGCAGCACTGCTGCGGCACAGCGACGGGGTCGCATCAGGGCGAGACAGGGATGGACGGGGCTGGACGAACCAGGGGGCACGGGGGGGGATCCCCTTCCTGAAGGGGATACCGCCTGGAGACAAATCATTCAGGGAAATAATACGGACATGGACCTGGCGGACACCAGATGGGAGGAGCACCTGGAGGGTGAGCGGCAAGACGCGCCCAGACGGTAAACCATGGACACGCCTACAAGCACGCACATCTCAATGCGAGACGACATGGGCACGTGGAAACAAATTCAGGCCCTGCCCGTCGAATAGTCGTACAAAATTGCTGGGGCTGTTGAAAGCACGAGAGAAGACGCGCTCTGGTAGGTCGCGGAGTCGAGAAGCACATGGCCAGCGACTGGAGGGCAGGGGGGCGCGCATGCGCGCGCGAGCTAACGCGCGCAATTGCACGCGAGCACGCGGGAACGCGCCCATGAATGCACGAATGCGTGCGTGAGCACGCTCTATACGCGAGTCGCGTAACAATCCAACAAGTGCTTTAGGGCGCGAGTGGTCTCAGTGGCTCGGTCTTGAGCCCCCCCTCCCCCCTCCGCGATGGGCTAGAGCGTCCAGGATGCCCAACAATGGCCCCGGGACGGATCGAAAAAATCCAGGATGCCCTCCAACAACGCTCAACATCGCCCAACATTGTTCAACGTCGCTTCGAACTTTACTTCAGAATGCCCCAAGACCGCCCCAAAACGGCTCCAAAACGCCACGGCGCCTCCCGAAGAGACAACCAAGAAACCACAAACCATCAAAAACAATGCTTACAACATGTGCATGCGCGTCGCTTCCGAAGGACTCGCGAAGCCTCACGGTGGCTCCAGAATTGCACAAGAAGGCCCCCATTGGGGCCCAAAAGGACCCCGAAACGGCCACACGAGTGCTCAATAGCGTTTCGAGGGCGTCTTGGAGGGCCCAGCGGTGACATCGCTGCGGTTCGGGCGCGCGAGGGAACTCGAGGATTGCTTCACAGCCGCGCCGAACTCGTGGCGTTGACTTGTGCACCCGCGCCACAGCGCCTGGCCCGGGGGCGCCTGCCGCTCACGCGTTTTAGTAGCTGCCAATCGGTCCGGGCCACGATCCCGAGATGAACATGTCATCGTCCGACACGTGGTTTGCACGCCGGCGCGCTGGGGCCCACAGGCCACGGGGCGGGAATAGTGTTGGGAAGACGCCTAGAGCCGCGGTTGCTTGCGGCGTGGATGCTTTTTATCAAGACGATGCTGCCGATTGCACAAGCAAGGTCTGCCGCTGGCACTGCCGCTGTAATTATGATGCCGGTAGTGTGGGCCGACACGAGTTGATGCGCACTGCTGTGAATGACGACCAGAAACCTCGCTCACGAACGCCGGGACAAACCTGGGACTGCGCCGGGACATTTGCGGGACAACCGTAGGACAACCGAAGCGCAGCGGGCCGTTGGGCGGCAAGGCTGCGGGGCGCCGCTGCGAAGCCGCGGGGCGCCGCGGGACAGCTGCGGGACAGCGGCGGGACAGCCGCGGGTCCGCCGAGGCAACGTCGGTGCCGAATTGCTGCGGGGGCGCAAGAATCTGGCATGGAAGATCACCCATGGCTCAGATGACACGGAGCAGGAGCAGGAGGAGAAGGAAGAGGATGAGGGGAGGAGGAAAAGGAGCAGGAGGAGGAGGGGAAGGAGGGGAAGGAGAAGAAAGAAACGGGAAGAGGAGGAGGAGGAGGAGGAGAAGGAGAAGGGGGAGGAGGAGGAGGAGGAGGAGGAGGAGGAGGAGGAGGAGGAGGACGAGGAGTTTTAAACCCGCGTGCTCCCGCCCGTGAGTGGGCGCCCCTGGTCTCGGCACTCCGCGCAGGCAGAACGGCCCGAGGCGGGGTGGGCCAGCGGCCTCATCTCACGGCGTCGTACTGCCGCCACTCTGTGACTCATGGAGTCGCCCCGTGAGCAGCGGCAGTCTGAAGACATGCTGCCGCCGCCCACTCAGAGCTTGAGGAGCAGCCTGATGGACGGCCGCAGCCGCTCCTCAGCTCTGCGCTCTTCCAGGGACCGCCCTGGCTGCTGGTCCCTGGACTCATGGGCCTTCACGACCGCCTTGCCTGGCGCAGAGCTGTGGCCTAACCCCTCGCCACGCTGGGGCGCATTGCGGCCTAACCCCTCGCCGCGCAGGGGTCCTCCGTGGCCTAACCCCTCGCCACGCTGGGGTCTGCTGGCGTCTGGTCCCTCGCCGCGCTGGGGTGCTCCGTGGTGGCCTAACCCCTCGCCACGCAGGGGTCTGTTGCGGTCTAACCCCTCACCGCGCTGGGGTCCGTCGTGGCCTGATCCCTCGCCACGCTGGGGGTCGGTGCGGTCTAACCCCTCACCGCGCTGGGGAAACTCGTGGCCTAACCCCTCGCCACGCTGGGGGCTGCTGCGGTCTAACCCCTCACCGCGCTGGGGCGCTCCGTGGCCTAACCCCTCGCCACGCAGGGGCCTTTTGCGGTCTAACCCCTCACCGCGCTGGGGTCCCATGTGGCCTAACCCCTCGCCACGCAGGGGCCTGCTGCGGTCTGACCCATCACCACTATGGGGTCCTCCCTGGCCTAACCCCTCGCCACGCTGGGGATCGTTGCGGTCTAACCCCTCACCGCGCTGGGATACTCCGTGGCCTAACCCCTCACCACGCTGGGGCCTGCTGCGGTCTAACCCCTCACCGCGCGGGGGTACGCCGCGTCTCGCACTGTGCCCGTCCTCGGTGCTGCTGCCCCCTGGCTCGGGCGAGGTCCCCCGACTTTGCCACTCTCTGTG